TTTAATAATTCCTCGTCAGGGGTGTAAGTGACCAAGTTGAGAATTCGACCATGTTTTTAAGTGAAGGGAGAGATTTCAGGGATCCTTGATGCTAATTCCCTGAGTTAAGGATGCACTTTCACAAGGTTGATTTGGATAGTGTTCATGCGAGCGGATGTCATGTCCTACAAAACAAATACAAAGATAAACCCTATAAAATCCTTGAAATGGTTAGTATGATATGCCATGTCATTATGTCATGATTATGCTAAGAAATCACAAATATATCAAGCACAAGAAAATCATACAAGAGACCTTAGGTTTAAGGCTTGCATGGGTTTTAAGGTAGTACTCTCTTGAAGTTGAATTGGTTCAACCTATCCTATAAATAGTAACCGGGTTCTAAGGGATCTCAATATCATTGACCTTTCCCACAAGCTTCATTTGATAGGCGATTGACTCGCAACCAAACAAAACTCAGGAGTCAATTCTCAATGAGTGTAGCATCGAGTATCTTCCGACTTTGGGAATACACCAAAGACGTCCATCTCGCTACGTTCTAATGGCTAAGTTGTTCATTTAAAGTTTCTAAGGTCAGTTGACGCTTTAGGACACTACGCAACGGCCCGTATTCTCCTTGATTAACTCAAGGGCTACCGGTACCAACCAAAGTGTCGCATCAATGTAGCCATCGCTTCAACCGTGTTGGTATACCCTGCACAATTTCCATGATCTCTTGCTACTTACCTAAAAGTTTTACCCAGATCCGGGTGGAGGATCAAAACAAACCCAAAAAGGAACCATAATGTAAAGAATGCAAGTCAAACAAAGGAAGAAAATAAATGTGATATAACCATAAGGTAACCCCACTATTAGGTATATCCCCAAAATGTCGCGGATAGCAAGATTCGCCACCGACTTTTCTTTTATCCAAAAGGAAAGACTGAAAAGAACATGAAAGGCCTTTAGAGATATTTTCTTGAGTTCGGGGGTTAGATTATGAAAAGGGAAGGTATTAGTACCCTTTTTATCCGTAGTTATCTACAGACTCTTAGTTTCTTTCTAGATCACTTGCTTTTGTTTGAAAATATGCTTGTGGTGTGGGTTTTGAAAGTATTTTGAAAATGTATTTGTAATGATTCTCGTTTCTATAAGAACGCGTACAAAGTGTTTGTTTCGAAAATAGTTCAAAGAGGTTTTTGTGGAGTGTGTCTTTGAAAGTGATTTTGAAAAGGGTTTCTTTTTAATGGCTCTCGTTTCTATAAGAACGCGTACAAAGTGTTTGATTCGAAAATAGTTCAAAGAGGTGTTTGTGGAGTGTGTCTTTGAAAGTAATTTTGAAAAGGGTTTCTTTGTAATGGCTCTCGTTTCTATAAGAACGTGTACAAAGTGTTTTCCTTTTGAAAATGTTTCAAAGTGAAAGTGTGGGTGTATAAAATGTTTTTGTTGTGAGCAAGCGAGCAACTAGGAGAAAATCTACCTACTCAAAAGGTCTTAAATGTTCTTTTCCTCCTCCTTTAGATGTTGCTATGTCACCATTGTTTGAGTAATAAGCTCCATCGTTGGATGTGAAGGGATGGATGTGGGACGTTTGTATAGTCATAGAAGAAACCTATGGGACGTTTTAGCAATGTCGTTTAGGGACTAGATTGTTTACCGAAGGCAACATCGAGGGTCATCGAGGGACTACGATCTTTTATCGAGGGTCTTTGCTAAATCGTCCATGTTCGAGGGACATGAATATTTGTTTCGATAGGCAACAAGTGGGGTTACCCTAAGGGGTGCATGTGTGCAAAGTTTATTTGATTGCATGCCTTTAATATTTGATTTTTGGGTTGTGTATTTGTTGTTTTTATCTTTCCATATACACCTAATTACTAGCAATATATGAAAGCAATAAAAACGCAGAAAAGTAAGGTCCTACGCTATTACATCATTAAGGGGACGGGGTGTACAAATTTACAATGGGGATTGCGATAATTTAAAGTCCTAGTTATCTATTACAACCATATTAAAATAATGTACAAGAAATGTAAAAACGGAATAGTTTTGTTTTTGTTAAGAAAAGAAATATGTTTGCTTAAGAAAACATTTTTTGATCTTTGAATTTTTTAGTTTTAAAAGGGATAAAATAAAGTATGTTAATATAAAATGTTTTTGGTGTTTTTGATTATTAAAAGCTAAAATAAGATAAATAAGAGAAAAAATGAGTCAGAATCAGCACATTGCTGAAGCTAGAAGGAACAGAAGTTCTAACTCTAATACGCTGCAAGAGAGAAAATGTTAGTAGGAAAGTAGAAGATCAGAAGTTCTAGGCCAGGGTTCACCATGTTCTGAGGTTGTTGGGAAGATAGAAAAACCTAGAAGTTCTGATTGCTGAGGGGCCTAAGAACTCTGATACAACTGGGAATTTAGAAATTCTAATGTCACTGCCAAATCAGAAGTTCTGGCTATTTGAGAGAGTGAGGTGATAATGTTGTTGGGTAAGGCTGTCTAGAAGTTATGATTTAGGGATATTGTCTGACAGATAAATGGGCAAAAATGTCTCTGAGTAAACCTAAAAAAGATGCTTCTGGGGCTAAAACTCAGGACCCTCATCATTAATGTCTTATGCGCACACACTGTCTACCACTGGGGTGGCTGTACATCCGGTATTAGAAGGAAAAGCATAAATATGTATCACAAAGTAAACTCTGATAATGAACTCCATCTCTTTCTTCAAGCTAATCAGAACATATGTAACTTAGTCATTTCTTAACAGAACAGAAAACACAAACATAGCAATGATGGCAGGTTTCCATCATGATTTCAAAAACATAAAAAAAAATCAAGACTGTAAATCAGAAACAAACATGTATATGCTAATCCTAGTTTCCTTAAGAAGTTATGAACTGATATTCTCCCTACTTAGGCAGAAAATACATGAAATCTATAAATATGTACAGCATCAGAATCAAGATGTCTACATTGTATTTTGATCATGCAAGTCTGATAATGCTTAAGTGATATGACGATAATCAACAGAAACTTACCTTGCAACTGGAAAATGTTTTGACCGCTGGTAATGTTCTGATCAGCCTCCTCACTTGCTCAGCAAGTTGGAACAATCTTTAACTTGGGCTATGAGTGGTTGGAAAATTCTGGAGCAGCCAAGAAATAAAGTTCTGAATTTTTGAGGTGAAGACTGATGGAGAATATGTTACAGTCTGAAAACAGAAGTTAGGAAGGCTTCTAAATGTATATCAGAAGTTGTATGGATGGTTTGGTCAAGAAGCACTTGAGGAAAATTGGACTTTGGACGCAAGAATAAAAAACTAGCAGGTTTTGTATTTGTATTTGCAGTTTCGGATTTCTGGAAATTTTAGCAAGGTTCCAAGGATTTTTCTTTTCAATTTTTCGATTGCCCTTTCACATTTTCAAATGAAGTTCAATTTATAGGAAAGAACTTTGTAGCTTGGAGAAGTCAAAAGTACCACCATCATGCTAGCGTGTTGGCTTGTTCTTGAAGCAAGTTAAACAAGTATGGTGGTTAACAGCTTTTAGTCGTGCCTAAGCTGGATTTGTAAGCATAAATTAAGGAAAAGTACCCTCAAAAGCAAAAGCAAAGCATGGGCCCAACATACTCTTGTACAAAAGTTTGCTTTTTCAAGGACAACAATGTACCTCTATGCTACACGTGGGGAAATCCTTTGGATAAAAACTCAAAATTGGTTGTGAGCATTAAATAATGATGAGATTTATCAAACCAGAAATCCTTTAATATGACATTATGCATCATAGCTTAAATATGGGTCAGAAGTTCAGCATCAGTGCAACTTAGAACAAACATCCTACTTCTGATCCTTGAATCTCTTTGCTCCAGCATGTTCTGAGTGAGTTCTCTTTGAAGATGTATAACTTGAAATCCTAGTATTTCTAGAAGAAGTTATGTTCTACAATGTTATAGGTCTCATTGAGATCTAAAACTCTTGTGTTAGAAGTTCTTCCGGAATCATCTTGCATCATGGTAAAAATTTGGCCATAAGTTTTAAGCTTGTCATATTTCTTAAACACTTAGAAAAATTCTAAGTATTTAGAATTTTGACTTTTCCAAAGTAATTTTGACTTTTGAATTTCTTTATTAAACAAACTTCATATTTCAACATGTCTTGATGAAATATGATTCTTGAAACTTGATTTTGATCCAAAAGTCAAAGTTTGACTTTTCAGTATGCAAATGACCATTTTGTCCTTGTGAATGACTTTCTTGGAAAATTTATAATTCAAGACTTGGAATTAGATGGAAGCAAACTTGAGGGTCCAAGATGATCCTTTGAGAAATGAGAGGGCAAATTTTGGGGTACAACATCATACATGATTCATTCAAATTTCTATACAAACTATAATAGATTTATTTCATGGTGCCAAGAATAATTTATGAACAATTCACTTACTAAAAGAGTTCCATGTTCGTCAAAGTCACAAGCTCACAAATGGATTCGATTTAAAATACATAAGAATAATTCCAATTTTTTTACCTAAGCATTAAAGTGTTCCTACCATTACACAAATGAACAACCAATTTCTCACAATTTTATGGTTTCACCTTGATTCCACAAACAAGAATTCAAGTTCTATAGCCTAAACTTCCAAGTTTCCTCATAAATTTACAAGATTTCCTCAAGTTTCTAATCCATAGTTTCAAGTTACATCACTAATGTTACAAGAAAATTCAAGCTCATTCTATGGCCTAATCTTCAAGTAACATCAACATTACTTTCGGTTTGCCGACGGTTCTTGATCATCCTTGAGTTTAATCCGCCATGATAAACTCCAAGTTTTGACACATTTTCTTCTCCATATTTTCCATATCATGTCTCAAGCATTGTTCACGTCACATGAAAAGAAAAAAATAAGGATGGTATGTTAGCATATCAATTCAATCAAAAACAACAAAATTCACACAAGATAGCAAGAATTGAATCGCATGTTTAAGGCCTCATTTGTTGGATAAATCATAATCTTGGTATAATCATTGTCCCATGACCTTTATTACAAATCACAAATACAATATTTGGTTCACAATAGAGGTTAAAAAAACAGTTTATGCGCGAATACAAGTCCAAAAAACCGGCATCACAACAACACTGTATAAAGAGAAACAAGTCATGAATCACAGGTTTTCCAACCCAACAACCAAAGCCTCATATTGCATTTGTTTCACAACAAAATCTGATGCAAGTATCAATCATGGCCTAATTCTGTCTACTACAAATCACAAACAAATTTGGTTCACAATAGAGGTTGAAAAAACAATTTACTACTCAGTACCACTCAGGAAGAGCATCATTGCATACAAAAATCAAAGCCCAACAAACAAATTGTTGCAGCAAACAAATTCACGAGGCCTCATACAATTTGTTGCACACATAATTAGACTTTCAATAATTCAATCATGGGCCTAATTCCTACTACAAATTACAGACATGTGTGGTTCACAGTAAGACAAAATCAAAGAGACAAAGTTATTGCAAACTCAGTAAAAGGCCACAAAATCACTATTATAGTTTACAACAAAAGCAAAGTCAGAATCACGATTTCAGCCCAACAAGTAACAAAAATTATCACAACAAAGGTTCACATCTAAAGTTATAACAGATCAGAAATTACAAAGCCTAATACGGGAGCATTCTCACAAGCCTGTTATCGCAACTCAGAGTTCAAACCAACACAGCAAAACCCAAATTCCCTAGCAGTATAAAAGCAGTTATTGCACATAAATCAGGGGGAGATGGACTGAAAATCCAAAACCACAAAACAAAAATATTCAACTCATCTCTGAATTCATGCCGGAATCTGTTTCCCTTCTCACCGGAGCTCCGCCCTCCCTCTCGCTGGAAAAGAAAAACCGTCGTGCCGGGGCATCCCAAAGCCACCGTTCTTCTTTTTCTTCCTCCCAAAAGGTTGACATTCCTCTTCTCATAACAAATACCCTATGTATTTCTTGCTTCAGTGACCATTGTTGTTGCTTCTTAAACAAAATATTTTCAAAACTCTTTTCAAGATCTTGCAAAACTCTTTTCAAAAACCAATCGCGGATTTGAGATGAGAAGAATATTTCGAACTAAGAAAGTAAAATAATTTGAAATCTGAGCTTCCTCGAGGTGGCGCCGGCGCGACTTCATCGCCGGCCACCGCGAGTTCGTGTCGCGCCTTCGTTGTTATTTTTCTTCCGGTCGCGTCTCCTTTTCTTTCTCTCTACCTTTTAATTCTTTTTTTCTTATGTTTTGTTGTTTAAAATAAATAGAAGATAATGTTGCACAATGAGAAGAGAAAGGAAGAGGTTTTGTTTTTCTTGAAAGATGAAAAGAAATTAATGTACGTTACAACAAATTTTTTTAAAAAGAAATTTTTTTGTCTCTTTTTCTTTCCCTTATCTCGTTGGGATCCGCGCCAGGCAGCCATGGGAGGACAAGTGGTTACTCTAATACTTGTTCTCGTCTGAGAAGATGGAGTGCAATATGATTTTCTGCGCGTGCACTCACTGTAATTACAATATAATTTTAATCTGGATCTTTAATCCTACATAAAATCAGTCATTTGACTTGATCAATGGCTCACAATATTTTCTATTTTATTTTATTTTATTAATTTCGTTTTAATTAGTTTAAAATTACAAAAATTCATTTAAAATTCAATTTTTTCCGAAAATTATGAAACAAATTCACAAAATTCATTTGTCTCATTTCTGTCTTAGTGTATTTTTTTTGGAATTTAATTTCTATTTTTTTTATTTTTAATTATTTTTCACTTATTTGAGTGATTTTAATTAGCTTAAAAATACTTTTCTGTTTTCAAAAATTATCAAAAATTTTGTAAAAATATTTGAGATCATTTCTTACTTTTATATGGTTCATTTTAATTTTTATTTGATATTTTGAATATAGTTTGTTATTTTGCCTTTTATCTTCATTTAAAAAACTATTTAAAAATGCATTTTCTCATTCTATTTTGATTGTAAATGCAGTTTTTTTTTTGTATATATTCTGGCTAATCTTGGACTATGTCAATTTTAATCATGAGCTTTATTAACATAATTAGATCTTGGGTGTTGAGTTTAACTCCACCAAAATGGATGAATGATTTTAATGATAGCTTGATTAAATTCTTTGGTTCAAATGTGAAATTTAATTCTTGTTCATCTTCTCTCTTTCTTATTCTTACTTGTGCTAGATGTTGTTGGAGAATGATCTACATAACATTTCTCTAAACATATGGTACATAGATTGCTATTGACCGACCTCAAAATAGGTGTGACTTCTATATAAGTCCACTTATGATTGCTTAACACAGCGCTAAAGTCGTCTTGATTCAAGAAATGATTATTCGTGGCCCAAACCTATATTTGCAAGCCCAAGGATGTTTAATTTGAAACCTTTGATCCAATAACCATGAGGTTCATTGTTAGGAGGCTTTGGTCTTATCAATCCTCTAATGAACCTTCATAAAATTTGGTCTAAGTGAATCATTTAAACATCGTTGATTATATGTTGTCGCATCGAGAACTTAAAATGAATGATATACTTGACAAAAAGCAAATGAAACCTATTGATGAGAAGCTTTGATTTTATCAATCTTCTAATGAGTTTTCAAATGCAAGTTCCAAGATGGTCATTCAGCTAACCTCTAACATTTAATTCACTAACAATTGACTTTTACTTTTCGTCTTTATTTTATTCTTTTACTTTATTCCTTTACTTTTACGCACCATTTATTTTAGCATTTACATTTCATGCTATTTTCATCTTTGCTCACTTGAGCATTTATCTTCATGTCATTTTTACTTTGCTCACTTGAGCTTTCATTTTCTTTTTGAAGATACTTAATAAGCAACTTTAACAACAAAGAACCTTGATTACCCCTTTGGACCTTGCGATTCTGTTATTTTGTCTGGAGTACTTAGGGTTTACCCCAAGACATTAGGTTGATTTTATTTGTGTGCATGTTATTCTAATTATATGTTTTATCTGTGATTGGAAATTTCTCAATATACAGTTGTTACTCTACCAATTTTTTTAGAATACTTAATGCATATGAAGCTCGGTATTCTTAAGAGGTTTAGTATCTTTGCTTGCTTGGTTTCAATCCAAAGGATAGGAATTCTACATTGACTCTTTGTGTCAAGTGTTGGCTCCTCGTTGGTTTGACGGTTCTTTTCCCTATTTCTTACATTATGCTTTAGGATAATCCCTTCATCTCCTCCCATCTTCTTTAATTTCAAAAATATTCTTTCTCCTTTTGAAAAATCTTCTTGTCTTATAACTTAAACCGCTTTCACAATAAACTTGGACTTAGGTCGATGCATTTTCAAAAATATTTTCTTAATCAAACTTTAACCAACTTAATCATACTTTGACATTTTTCGTGATAAAACTAAAACTCAATAAACCTCATTCAAATCATTTTGCCATTTTGGCTTTTTACTTAAATTTTTCTCAAAAGATTAGACTTTTTCAATCCTTGTAGTGATGCGAGCTACTATACTTCTACGATATATAGTGAAGTAAGATATTTTCCACTTGGGTGTTGAGTGAGGCTTTGTTAATTTTAAAATCCAAGCTATATCCTCCACTTTGAGATGATGCAAATTCTCCGTTCTCATGATTGTGGGTAGTAAGTATGTCTTCCAATCGGATATGACGATGATGTCTCGTCTCTTAAAATTAACCAACACACTTGTGTTTTAAAATTTTTAAAGGTGAACTATGAGTACCCTGATCCCCTATTGCAAGGAAGGTGGTACGTAGGCACTAAAGGTTCGCAACCACGATGGGTGCAAAAATTATAAAAAATACTTTTTTTCTCATCTCCACCATCTATTTTTGTATACAACACATATAACCAAACACAAATTCTCAAAGAGGTTCCTGCAGAGTATCGTAGATATTTAGGATACTAATAACTTCCCTTTACATAACCAACCCCCTTACCTAGATTCTTTCCACCTTTTTTTTGGGTTATTCGCTCTTTTCTCATGCCTCTAGAAACAATAAAGTGCGGTGGCGATTTTTATTTGATCTTTGTGAGTTAAGTCAATCTAATGGCTTAATCTCAACATTTATACCGCTACAGAAAAAATGGAGACTTCATTGGGGAAAGATCGACCAAATATTGGTCCATCTCTAAGTGGGTTGAGTCTATATTTGTTTATATTGTGTATGTGCTATTATTTGTTGTATATTATGTGTTGTATATTATGTGTTGTATATATGTTTGTCTGGATTTTCCTGGCTTTCAGGGTGCTTGGTGATTTCTCATAAGTACTCGCCCCGGACTTGGGTAAACTTAAGATAGGACGGGCGGTATAGTCATGTTAACTTTGAGGGAGTAATCCCAAAAAAGGAGACATGAGATCCCCCACTTAGTGAAGGCCTCTTTGACTGTAGTATCGTTTACCGAGTAATCGGGAAGATGTGCTGCTTTCGACCTGAGAGCCTGCTGAAGCTGAGAACCATAGAACCCTTAAACCATTTTGGCATTTTAGGTGTAGTGCGGAAAATATGACAGAGTAATCCAGAAATGCTTGTCACGCGATATTACACTCAGACGAGTTTTTCATGAGAATATTACTAATTGCCGAGTTAATCGGGACATTGGTAATATCCGAAGGAACGATGTAGACTCTTGGAACCTTTTAGAACATTGTTCGACAGGTGATAAACTATTAGTCCATACTTTGTGGGTAGTACCTTTGATTTCATGCTCGTGACGTCGAACCTATGAACCCCCCCCCCCCCCCATGTTTATGATCTTGTGTGTGGTTGCTGCATCATGCATTCATGCACTCATGAGCATCCTTTAAAACATTTGTTTCAAGGGACTTAAAAGTTGACTTTTTTCAAATATATCAGGTACTTTTTGACCATGGATTTTGGAAAAAGAAAGACTCAGAAGTACAGTTTCAAGGATCCTAAGATAGAATAATTGATGAGTTTGATTCCCGAGATCAAGAGCTCTACAGATTTTCAGAAGAAGTATGGATCCATTGTGTCTCTTATGAAGCTCAAGATGAAGGAAGGTATTCTTTCTACTTTGGTCTAGTTCTATGATCCTTTGTACAGGTGCTTTATTTTTCTTGATTATCATTTGATGCCTACATTGGAGGAGTATTCTCACTTGTTGGGTTTACCTATTGTTGATCGTGTTCCTTTTATCGGCTTGGAGGGAGAGCCTAAGTCTCATGAGATTGTTGCCATGACATATTTAGGGAAGTTTGAGATTGAGGCTAACATGACTACTAAAGGAAGAATAAGAGGTTTACCTGCTCAGTTTTTATTGGAGAAAGCTTGCTACTTTGCTAGGATGAAGAGTACAATTGCTTTTGAGGTTATCTTTGCTTTTCTTACCTATGGGTTGTTCTTATTTCCTAACATCGACAAATTTGTGGATGTCAACGCCATTAGGA